CCCAAGAGAAAGAAGCGTGATTGGAATCTACTTCTTTACATTTCGAATCCTTATTTTTTGTGTTCTTGTTCATTTAATATGCTTAAATGACAACCTGTTTAAACAATTTAATGTTAACTTCATCTTAAACACATTTTAAAATTTTAAGAACCACAACTTCCATCAATCAAATAATACACACTCAATAATGAACTATTACAACTCAGAAGAGTAAAAAATTACAGTAGTTATTGTCAACCAAATGAAATACAAGAATTGAAAAATAAACCATTCTAAAATAATTAAACATTTCTTACCTTTCCAGAAATGACCCCTTTCCAAGTCCAAAAGAAAGAAGGGTGAGTGGAGCTTTGTTCTTCACGTTTTGATGTTCATGTTTATCTAATATATTTTGTAAGTCATCTGTAAGTAGTTTGTCCATCTAATCCAAGGATGTTATCTCAAGGCAAGCCTATTACAAAAAAAAGGTTAAAACCCAATCTCTAAAATAACAGGGCAAAAACGAAAATTTTTTAAAAGAATTTAAAATTTTAGAATATTTTTTAATAAATATTTTACATATTTTGAGTATAAAACGAAAGCAAATCTTCGTGGCTTGGCCACATCAATATGAAAAATCCACAACCATCACCTAAACCTGCATTCAAAATTCACAAATTGTAACGAAACCATAATTATTCCACCCCAAATAAACTATATTAAAGTTCACATTAGAAGGGTGGACAAAAAAATGCCAAAATGAAACCCATCTTAGAGCACTAAACCATTGCCACCGAAGTCATTCACACCAAAAAAAATCGAAGCAACGCTAATCAAAACCCATCACTCACTAAATTGAAAAACATTCTATACAATCAAATGAAAATTGAATAAGGATTAGGGCTAACTACCTTTATGCGTTGTTTCCATTTACGGACAGCAAAAATAGGGGATGCTGTTTTCTCGAGGAGCGATGACAAGACGAGGACATAGATTATATGAAAATGAACCAGCCGGAAGCCCATAGATGAAAATTTTTTCTCTACCTATGATCCAGTAATAATTTTATAGGTGCGTTCAACTGTACTGACTCAGTTTAATTTGCAATTATAAAGTAATCTCCTTTTGAAAACATTACCCCAATAAAACTAAGGGACTAGCAGCATATTTTAACTACTTATATCAATTTCTAAGAGTTAAAGCAATATTTCCAAGTAAATTAATTAAAAATAATACATATTTATGGGTACAATACTAAAAATCAATAATCCTTGATACATTCAGAATAGTATTTCTTTTCCTAATGCCTCTCTCATATCCCACTTTCTAGATAAAACAGTAAGTTAAATTAGAAGCGGAGTTATTAATAATTACCGACTATAATTCAATAATACTAAATTAGTTTCCACGACACATCCAAAAGAATGTGACTGAGGTTCTTTGCCATCAGCCTGTCTTCACTTGTTCTAAGTTTTGTGACTGACCTGCTTAATTTAATCACCAAACAAATAAAATATTATGGAAAAACAGAAAATTATAATATTTTCGCCATTATAATCTTGCTCATCGAAAAAAGAAACGACAAAACCTCTCGATTTAGACAAGGTAATCGATATTTTTACAACATTAAGTAAAAACGCAGTATGGTTTTGCATTAAGGAAAGCGTCTTGAGTTGCCTATGTAAAGTTGAATGGTTTTAAAATTTACATTATGTCCTCAAATACTCTTAAAGTATTAGTAATTGTATTTGAAATACTTTTCAATGAAAATATTCATTATTAGTATTAAAAATACAAAATTTTATTTGATTTTGCAAATATTTTTTCAAATATTTGAAAAACTTAGAATAACTTTTTTTATANAGCTGTTATAATAATTATAATAATACAAATAGTAAGTATACAATACTTGGTTTAGGATAGATACCAAATAACGAAAAAAATTGTAAATTAATTTTAAAAACCCCATCATTATTCAAAACGTAGAAATTCATGATTTTAACCAAGAAGTGTTTATCATACAAATACACAAATAGAGGGACATTAATTCTCGAGACAAATAGGCAAGTGACCGATGACGCGATTATAAAAAAAAGCAGTTAAACAGATTAGGTCGAAAACAAACAGATTTCACTTAAAGAGTGTTATGATTGTAGGACTATTAAAATAAGATATAATGATTTTTAAAAATGCTGAAATAAACTGCAGAATTTAGATATTTTCGAAACAAAAAAGTGTTCCAAATTTCTCAATCTTAAAAATTAAAGAAATTCTCAAAGATTAAAAATTTATTGCTTTTTTTTCTTATTGTTGTTACTATGTATAAGCTAATTAATAAGAAGAGGTGCATTACTTTTATTCTTAATGAACCGCTGTTTTTGATTAAGTAACATCTATCTCCTTGGTCATTATAACTTTGTTACAATTTTATACTCTCATAACAATTTTCCCAAACAAAACGAAGCTTTTTGTCCGCATTTTTAACTGTAAACAACTTTATCAGAAATCCCATAAAAAATTGTAATGTACAGGACACAAGGTAAAAATGCCCACATTGGGTAAATATACAAAACGAAATAAAAAGCAATTCATTTACATCAACAGTGTTAAATATTGTAAAATCAATTATTTTCATGGACTGCTTATGTACCAAATAAATTTAGATTATTTTATTACAATCCAAAAATGTAATTGCTTACAAATTTCGACTCCCACTGTAACAGTCTATGACTAAACTACAACGCACTCATTTTATTTCGCGAAAAGATATCTTCCTAATTTAAATTTAATGCTTTTAAATACAGCTTGTACCTAGTCCTTTATATAGGCAACCCACTGCACTGCAAAGTATTCAGATCATCAGTCAGCAGGAGCTGTTGTAATTCCTTTAGTAGTCTTCGATTTCAAAAAGAGGGTTTAAAATATTTACTAGTAAGTTTTAGCCACATATCAAAAACAAAGATTTTAAACTAGGGATTGAAAGTGCACTCCGGTAATTTTCAACTATAAATTTTTACTTTTCAGTGATGACACAACAAATTTAATACATTTTAGTACTTTCCCCTAATTTAAAAGGGAGAAATTCATTTATCAAGAATAAAAACGACGATCTTAAATTGAGGGTTGAAAATGCACCCGAATAATTTCTAACTTTAGAATTATTTTTACTAATGTCCCATAACATTTTTAATACATTTTGGTACTTTCAGTTCATTTAATAAGAGAGAAAGTAATTTTAAAAGTTAAAAAAAATTAATCCTACCTTTCCAATGTGTTGATAATTTGGAAAGAACAATTACGGAATAACAGCATTGCAGTATCCACTTTCTAAGCCATGATTCCTTATTCAACAAGCCAAAACACTGAGAGAAAATGCCATTGGTGAATATTTCGAAGCACTAAGACTATAACAATTTGATTTTGTAACTAAAAAAAATTAAAAAAATCTTAAACAAAATCCTACCTTTCTTTATAGATAAGTGAAGTTCAAATGTCCAAAGTATTCTTATGGTAGTGACTTCTAAGGAATATTTTGTCATAGACAAATTATTCAGACTGCTGAAACAAAAAGAATACATGAAATAAAAACCATATAAATACTATAAATACGATAATCGCGAAATTTTAGTCTCCAAGAACTTGTACTTTTTCGAACAAAAATTTCATGAAAATATATGCGTTCTTGCTGTACATGTATATGTGATTTATGCAAACAGTACTTCCGAATTGTATAATAAGAAAACTATATAGATTAATTGAATAATTGTAAATGGTATAATAAACAGTAATGTTAGGTAATCTAAATTTGAAAAAGCGCACTTCAAATTTCAAAGAGTTGGAAATTATTTACTAGCCAGGTGGTAATTATGCCAATTAAACATATTCTAAATTAGATTTTGCTTAAAATTGACTTGTTGGACACTTAAGAAATGACTTCCGAAACAATTGCATTAATAGATTAAGGATAAATGCGAAATTACCTTCCTTTCCTTCCTTATCCAAACAGAAGAAGAAAGTTCCTATTCTTTTGTGTTATTTCTAGTTAAACTAGGTTTTTTTCTTCCACGGACCGCACAAGGTAATGAAAATACGATTGTAAAGAAATTAAAGTCGTCACCAATTGTTTATTGCTGTATAATCAGTTACTGCTCAAAAAGATGAGGCCCTAAAATATAGCTTACGTTAGTAATATACAGGGTGTGCCCGATTTAACAAACAAAAAAAACAGTGTTTGTTTATTATTATATAAAAGCGCAAAGAAGTTTTGGTTAAACCGGTTAATAATTTAAGTAATATAAAAGAGCTAAAAAGCGTGCCTTAATTTAAGTTTACTCAAACAATTATTCTAAAACTTCTACAACTTCACTGGCATGCTAGATCTACAAACACTACATTTTGCCTTTTGAAACCAAACAATTATTCTGTTTTAATAATTTTTTAATTTTTGCGGTAATTTAAATATGACCTTTTCCCCCCAAACGAAAATAGTGTCAANAAAAATTAAGAAATATTACATTGAAACAGTAGGTACTGACTACTGAGTATTATCAACGTACAACCTTTTGCTAAAATATACTGTAACGCTCAACATTATTGTTTTACTTATGTTATAAAATTCTTTACTATGGAGACTAAATTATTAATTAATCCTCGTTTAATGTAACCATTAATTTTATAGGAACGTTATCAAAACATCAGATTGCAATGCAATAGTAGAAATGAGCAACAAAAAATCAGAAATAAAACATTAGAGAACATTGTTGATTTACAACTTTTATTCCATGTTATTTAGTCACTACACTTCTGATTAGGTAATTAATTGTTTTTTCTGTTTCTACAGATTATCCTAGAAGCATGAAATTCATGGGCTATGAACTTCTCTATTGTTGATGCCTTCACTTTGCAACAGTATGCAATTAATTTTTGAGCTGACTTTCCCAATGGTAGCAAACAATCTATTACTATTATACTAATGGCACCAGTACAGAGGTATGTAAACACTTTGATTAAAGAGTAGTTACTGTAGAGTATCAAGCATTGGAATTTAATTTGACAATCTAACGAATATATTTTAAATTAATTGTAAATGTATCAACATATCAATTATTCTTTTGCCAAAATCTTTCATTTAGGTACAATTTTCAAATTGAACTATTGTTTAAATTTACTTATTGATTTATTATTTTAAACTTTAATATAAAGAACAGAAGTTTAAAAACTATTTTTATTAAATTAATATAATTTTTGAACATACGCAAATTTATAGTTGTTGCTCAATGGTAAATCTATCTATGGATGATTGGTGATCAATGTGTTATTATTAATTTTACAGCTAATTCGTTTTTTCTTGTTCTCTTGCACAGATTGGCCTGTAAATAAAAGCATGCTGAAGTTTATTTGGGGTACCCCCAAATGGATAGTTTATGATGAAATGCTTCCTACACATCCTTTACTTTCGTCTTCTTCTCATAGAAACATTTTGTATATCATTAAGGTAAGACTTGATGCCCTAATTAAACTATTAAATTAAAATAATAAAGTCCATACTAGTTGTTGAGTCTTATCTATATGTAAGTTTCTCTTTTGGTACCTTTGCAATTAAGACTTTTTGAGGTACTCAACATCACTGTTTTACATTCTGTTATTACATTCTGTACTATGGAAACTAAATTAGTTATATGATAATTGTCTAATGTAACAATTTATTTAACAGGAACATCATCATCGACATTGGATTGCAAATCAATTTCAAGTTCATTTAGATGCTACAGAAAACAAGTTGTCAACTAGCTGTTACTTTTTCATCTAGGAGAATCTAGTAGTTAATTAAGGTGAGCATACATGCTTCTAAGTATTAGTAGGAGAGGAGGGAATTGGGCATTACTTTAACACTGCATTATGCATGTCATTTACTAAGAAGGCTATAAACAATGTTTCAGAAACAGTAGAAGCACAATTATTGTAGAACTGACCTTTTCATCAGTATGAAAGTTAGTTTAAAACAAACTATATGTATATTTTATTTTAATATGGGGGTCAGATGATTCAGGAAGAGAAGCATTGAATATAGAAATTTTTAAAACAACAACTGTTAATTTATTGTTAATGAATGTTACCTTATGTATCTATTGTTTTACCTGTCGCCTGTTTTTACCACCATACTTTCACTTTAAAATGTTACTGATTTATTTGCTATAAAAGTAGTAATTAATTCCTTTTTCTTGTCCTTTTTTTTATATAGGTTGTCCAACAAATGAGAAGGAATTGCAGTTAAAATGCTACTGAAACAGCTGATGCATTGACTTTTTGCCTTGAAACATTATGCATTATGTGAGGGGGAGGCAACTGGTGATTAATTTTGAAACCACTGAAACAAGAAATTTTCTGCAATGGTATTCTTGTTAGATGTAGTTTGCTCAGACCTGCAGACTTTAGAACGTTACTTACTGTGGTTAATTAAGGTGAGAATATTTGATATAAGTTATTTAATTGCTCTTTATTAATCTGTTACCACCGTATCTGTTTCAGATCGACAGTGGAGAAGACAAAGAAGACCCCATACTTGAAATAGTTTTCTACTATGCATGCTTTTTAGTTGAATTAATTTTTTATTTTGCACGTTTTCTGTAGTTTGTTTTATTAAATTAATTTTTGATTGTAGATGTTTTTATTTTTTGAGTAGTTTTTATTTTTTAGTAATGATTTATTGTTTTTGGTAGTACTAGTATTAACATGTTCATTTTTTTAGTAGTATTTGTCTAACATGTATCTTGCTTACCTCTTCGCTTAGCTTACTGCATATTCTTCCTAATTGCTTTGCATTTACCCTACGAGTTCTACATGATTCAACGTTTCGTTATCGTGTTCTTTTCTCTTCTCACCCTTGTGGAATTAGGGAGGGCCTCCCCGAACGACTTCCCTTGGGCTTAGCTATTTAGTTGATCTTAAAAGTGTCTTATACACTTTTCGCGAGTCTACTCTAGCGTTACTTCCTTTCAGACAGGGTACAGTGGGTTATCTGGAATAGGAGCAATAGGCGACTGCCCAGCTTGCCTTGGCGAAATCTGTCCGATCTTCTCTACCAAAACTATTAGTATTTGCCGTTAGTCCTGTTAATTTTGCACTATTCGCTTTCAGATAATGACGTATTTCCTAAGAAGAACGAAGGCATCATTTTCTTTTTTATTGTATTTTCTTTGAAATTTCATGTGTTTTCTTGTCTTTCTTTTGCAGGTATTTTGTTTATTACTTTATGAACTGTTATATTATGTAATTGTAACTTAGACTGATAGTTAAAATGTTTCTAAATTGGTCTTTTGGCTTAAATGTTAAAATTAAATTAAATATTTGTTAACGCATTCACAATTAAAATTCATTTGGGTGGATAGGGTGGCTATAAGGGGAGATGCGGAGGCCACAGAGGGTTAGGGAGACTTTTTCTCCTTAATCTTGTGTTTAAACGGTAATATAACAGTTCATAAGTAACATAAGATTTTTTTATTGCATATAAATGTGATTTGTTTTCTTTCTCTTACAGGTATTATTCTTTTTACTCTGTAAACTGTTAATTAATTAATTGTGTTCAATTTTATAAGTCCTGTTAACTGTTATTTATTAAATACGTTACATGTATTATGTATTATATAGTTACTTGAAATAAATATGTTTGTTGTAATTAGTGTAAATAATGGGTGTAATTAATAAAAATGTATTTCAATTTTATTAGTTTTTTTGTTGAATAATCTTTAATATAGAAGCAATTTATTGAATAATTAAAGCAAACGAAACGTATTTGGATAATTTATTGAATAATCTCTGTTAAAAGATGCGATTTATTGATGAATTAAGCAAAAATTTTCAACAAAAGTTCTATTTTAGTTCGTAAACGTGGGCGGATTTTGACCGAAAAAACGTAAAAAAACACCGTAAATAATAATTTTTTGGCAAAAATAAAGTAAACGGGAGCTCTGTGTATCACTTACTATTTGTTATATATTATCAGTTATCATTTATCGATGAATTAAGAAAAATATTTGGCCGAAGTTCTATTTCGGTTCCCAAAAACGATCGACAGGTAGCTATACATGGGTTTTTTTCGGGAACCGAAATCGAACAGTAGGACAAATTTTTGTTTAATTCGCCAGTAAATGATTACTGATATGGATAATTGATTAACAAATGATAAGAAGTAGCTGTGGCTTGTTTTATTTTTGTTAAAAAACGGCTATTTATGGTGTTTTTTACGTTTTTCCGTTTAAAGTCGCTCCACGTATATGAACGAAAATCGAAATCGTAAAGTAATGGAAAATTCAAAAGTTTTTTGAAAAAGACCCGATGCAACTTATGCTCTCCTAATACAAATGTTGAAATTTATGAAAATTTTCAGTTTTGAGCCAAATACGAGGGTTAGTCGAAAAGTAATGGAAAATTCAAGTTGTTTTTTGAAAAAGACCCGATGCAACTTATGCTCTCCTAATACAAATGTTGAAATTTATGAAAATTTTCAGTTTTGAGCCAAATACGAG